AAATATGTTAATGTTACCAATATCTACGTGATTCCAGATTGCACATCATCTGCGCTATCGGTTTTACTGATGAATTCGCTGAGTTCGCTGTTACTGCCTTCAGTGATTCACTTTCAGTTGTATGTGGTGATTTCAATTCATGCGACTGTAGATTCCTTACGTCACTAGGTCACCAAAAGGTAGTAGATTTTCGTACCCTTCTGGATGCTCATCTAGACTTCGTCTTCATTAATGATGTGGGTATATATGCGACTCGTAAACGTGCTCCATTGTCTAGCTCAGATCACTGTATAATTCGTGTTCTACCTAAAGTATATGGAAAGCATGGGAAGAGTACACTCTAACGTCAAACCAGGAAAGTCAAATATCGGAATTACTCAGAAGAAAATTTTCGAAATCTGAAAACCATGTTTCATACGACTAACTGGGAATTATTTACAGATGACTCACTCGAAAACACTACTGATGTTATCACTTGTTACCTTAAATTCTGTTTTGTTATTTGTTGTCCCACTGAAACCATTTTTGTAAGTTTTGATCGACTTGCATCTTCACAACTAAAACGACTACGAAGGATGAAAGAAAGCATGTACAAGAAGAACTCTAATAAAGTTCGCATACTAAGTGTTCTGATAAACCTAGAGATTAGACGTCTCAACTGTATGTTTACTCAAAAGCTCATATCTTGCAAAAACTCTCCAAGTATGTGGAAATTCTTTAAAGAACTTACAGGTGACAGAAAGTTTAGAAGCGATAACCAGCTGAATGTTTGTGACTTAAATAAGTCTTTTGTACGTCAGTAATCTGATGTGATGCTCCCTCTATCCACGGGTTTAAAAAATAGCTGTGTTCCTACTTTCACTGAAACTGATGTCCGAGGATGTCTCCAGTCGCTTAATTCATCTCGATGTTTGGGACCTGATGGTATCCCAAACATCCTTTTTAAAAAATGTGCTGACGTTCTGTGTCATCCGTTCACAACTATATTTAACAGATCCTTCTCATCTAATCTCATACCGAAAATGTGGAGAAAGATGAAGATAATTCCTGTACCCAAGAAAGCATTTGGTGATAAGAATGTAAAATTAAGACCTATTGCAATAACTTCATTCTTCCTCAAAATCATGGAAAAATTATTAATACTTCCACTTCAGCCTGCGATAAAAGAGCATACTGACTCATACCAGTTTGCATACAGGCGCAAAAGAAGCACTTTAGATGCTGTTGCAGTTCTGCATCACAACATAGTGTTCAACTTAGAAAAGGGCAAGATGTATGTTCGATGTACTTTTCTGGACTATACTTCAGCTTTTGACTCTATACCAAGACAACGTTTACTTAACAAGTTAATCAGCGTCAACACTGACAGCTGGATAACCAACTGGCTACGTTCCTACCTCTCTGGAAGGGAACAGTATACTGTGTTTGGAAGAAAGAGTTCAGAGTCTCTACTGTCTCAGGGAGGTGTACCACAAGGAGCTGTTCTTTCACCTCTTCTATTCTCTTTTTTTCTTCATGACCTGCCATCTTCCACAGAAAACACTTTTGTGAAGTATGCGTATGATCTCATTGTATGTATGCCTATATCTTCCTCTTTACATCCCATAGAAATGAATGAATTTTTGTCTCGTATTGATTGTTGGTCTGTTGGTAATGGTCTCATACTTAATCCGTCTAAATGTCAAGCTGCTAACTTTAGCATGTGACATAAACGGAATATAAACACTATTTTGAGATCCCATAGTGCTTGTACCATCGGAGACCCTTTGATAAACACAGTGTCGAAGGTCAATTATCTTGGTGTCACCTTTTCCTCTGACCTCTCTTGGTTTACTCACGTTTTATCGTTATCGAAGAAGGTTTTCCGTCTGACTTACTACATAAAGAGATTACATGCCCTTGGGATTACTCGTCACTGACTCATACAATTTGTAAATTCTTGCATATCATCTATTATTCTTTACTGTTCTCCATTATTCTTTCCCGGGCTTCTGAGAGAAGACATTGCTGTATTGCGGAGAGTGCTGAAGGTAGTTAGCAAGATGTGTGGTGAATCTTTCGAGGTCATAATTAATATGGTTGTGGATAGACATTTAAAATCATGCAAACTCCTGGCAGGTGTTATTTTATCAGATACTAGCCATCCCCTTCACTCTTATCTTTCTCCTTGTATATCCTCTGGTAGAACGAGACGTAATTACATTAAAATCCATGCACGCAAGGAAAAGTATAAAAGTTCTATAATACCTTACCTAGCAAATATACACTGTGACGAACAGGTTGTTAGAATTAAACTAGTCTATAACTTACATTCTTAACATGTCTTTAATTTTAAAAAGTTTGTACAGTTTTTTTGGTTTTTTTTAAATTTTTTAATTTTTATTTTTTTAAAAACCTTTTTTTAAATTTCTTTTTGTGTTTGCTACTGCCTTTTTGTTCGTTGTTCAGTAAGTAACTTGTTGAATACACCCTGTGCTGAGAATTCTATATTGTACTAAAATATAATATTGAATAAAGCCATTATTAATAAAAAAGCAGAGGGATAGATGAGTAGAGTATTTCGAGGAAATCCTGAATAGGCCGGCTCCAATGAATCCACCGGACAGTGGAGCAGCACACACAGATCTTCCCATAGATGTCAATTCACCAACGACGGAAGACATCAGAATGGCCATCAGACAAATCAAGAGCGGTAGAGCAGCAGGACCCGACAATATACCAGCTGTAGCACCGAATGAAATCAGACATCGAAGTAACTACAAACATGCTTCACCTTCTATTCAAAAAGATTTGGGAGGAGGAACAAGTGCCGACGGACTGGAAAGAAGGACACCTCGTCAAGATTCCAAAGAAAGGAGATCTGAGCAAATGTGAAAACTACAGAGGCATTACACTACTGTCAATACCAGGGAAGGTCTTCAACAGAGTGTTGCTGAACCGGATGAAAGATGCAGTAGACGCCCAACTTCGAGATCAACAAGCTGGATTCCGTAAGGATCGATCGTGCACAGACCAAATTGCAACACTACGGATCATCGTCGAACAATCAGTTGAGTGGAACTCATCACTATACATCAACTTCATTGATTATGAAAAGGCATTCGACAGTGTAGATAGGAGGACATTATGGAAACTTCTTCGACACTACGGAGTTCCTGAGAAGATTGTCAATATTATCCGGAACTCATACGACAGACTACAGTGCAAAGTAGTGCATGGAGGACAGCTGACAGATGCATTCCAAGTAAGGACCGGAGTCAGACAAGGCTGTTTACTCTCTCCCTTCCTCTTTCTTCTGGTGGTCGACTGGATTATGAAGACCTCAACATCTGAAGGAAAACACGGAATACAATGGACAGCTCAGAATCAATTAGACGATTTGGACTTCGCAGATGACCTAGCCCTCCTATCACGTACACATGAACAGATGCAGATGAAGACAGCCAGTGTAGCAGCAGTCTCTGCATCAGTAGGCCTCAACATACACAAAGAGAAAACTAAGGTCCTCAAATTCAAAGCGGAGAACAGCAATCCAATCACACTTGATGGCGAAACTCTGGAAGATGTAGAGTCCTTCACATACCTGCGAAGCATCATCGCTGAACAAGGAGGTTCAGATGCAGACGTAAAGGCGAGGATTGGTAAAGCAAGGGTCGCATTCCTACAATTGAAGAACATATGGAACTCAAAATAACTCCCAACCAATATCAAAGTGAGGATCTTCAATACCAACGTCAAGGCAGTTCAACTGTAAGGAGTTGAAACTCTGAGAACTACTACAACCATCATCAAGAAGATGCAAGTATCTATAAATGGTCGTCTACGCAAGATACTCAATGTCCGTTGTTGGCCGGATACCATCAGCAACAGCCTTCTCTGGGAGAGAACAAACCAGCTTTCGGCTGAAGGGGAAATTAAGAAAAGACGATAGAAATGGATAAGACATATATTACGCAAATCATTAAACTTCATCACGAGGCAATTCCTAACTTGGAATCCTGAAGGGAAGCTGAAAAGAGGAAGGCCAAAGAACACATTACGTCGGGAAATCGAAGCAGATATGAAAAGGATGAATAATGACTGGTAGGAGCTGGAAAAAATTGCTCATGACAAGGTTGGCTGGAGAATGCTGGTGAGCGGCCTACGCTACCTTAAGAGGAGTAACAGGCGTAAGTAGATAAGTAAGCTGCAAACAGCTTGCTATTCAAAACTTCGGGCTTCTTAGCCATAAAGGCTGACAATGACACGTGGAGTAGTAAAAAAAGTTTACGATTTCGGCTACACTACAAGATCAACTAGGCCAGATCTTTCTCTTAATGATCTAACAAAATATAAAGTATCCTGATCATTATTATTAATATACAAGTGATCTGTTGCGCTTATTTCTATTGTTTTCTGGAATAAAAACCTACAAAGACACAAAGGTTTTAAAACTCATTACTTGATGGCAAATTGCGTGTATACATTACAAACATGTGCGCTACTGTTGGTAATGTGTCTGAAGAGAAGGAGTGCTTTGTCTTTACTGAGTTCAGACATTATGATCAGGTTATGAAGTTGATATCAAACATAAAGTTTGAACTGTCAGATTTCCGCAAGAAAGAGAACTTAGAAGATACACTTGTCCGTATGTATATTACATTCCCTTGGTTGATAGATAGAAATATTCAACTATTACCAGGAGCAGCCACATCTGCTTGATCCTTATCTTGGAAAAATGATATCAGCTTGCCTGGATGTTGCGCACTGTTCTCGCTCAGAGCCTGAAGTTTTTCACTTCGCGTTCAGGATCTTATATCTAATGACAAAAACCCGAGGTTACAAGGCCATTATCCGTTTGATGCCACATACGGTTGATGATATTGAACCAAATTTAAGTCTTCTCATGGAGCAAGATATAAATGATTCGAAGGTACTGTTTGTATGTTTCCAATATGTAAATCCATCCCTAGAATTGGGAGACGCGCTATGTTCTTATCCTTTGATTATCAATCTTGGTAATGGTCCCATTCAACTTGGGAAATCTTGACAGTTTTGGAAAAAAACCTATAATTGAGCGTGTAATTGATTTAGCCAAGCTCTACCTTTTTCAGGATGAGCGTACTCAAGAAGCAGCTGCTTTCCTTCTTGCGCATACTGTTACCCGACCAGATGCACTTCATGCCCAGCTACCATCAGTAATTTCGTTTGCAATTAAAAATCTAGGCTTTACTGATGGTAAGTGTGAAGTCTTTGGATTTTTATTAAACAGTGGTATAGATTGACTGAAACGTGTTAATCTGTTTGTTGAAACACTCCAGTCGTTACGTTTGTATTTCTTTAATATCCCTGTATGTTTGTATCATCACGACTTTTTTAAAGTTAAATTTGATCATTGGAACGTAAATTGTGCGCGAATTTTCTATTTTTCTTATTGTGCAGCAAAGATTCATCCGTCGTTGGCTACTAATTCCAGAATATCATGTCAGTCAGTCAGCTACAACGTAGGACCAGGCACATTTATGCATCGGTCCAAGTTGCCATACCTCATTAACACAACAAGATGGACACCGGATTCATAAAAGTAGTTAATTCAGAGGTGGTAATATTTAAAAGAAAGTTTGCAATAAGGATGTAGTACAGGAAGGAAGAATTAGTTCCTAGAAAGAAAGATATGAAGCGATTTTAATCTCTTAGTTTAAGGGTACAAGAGAGCGCCAATATATATGCGCCACACAAAACAATGAAAATTCAAGAGGAACACAAAGAAAGAAAGCAAAAAAAGCTAAGGAGCGCAACAAAAGAAAGAGAGAACAATAACGAAGAGATTGGAGTAAGGTAGTGTGGTAGTAACGACGGAACGAAAAGGTACAATCAGAAGAAATCTTTCAGGTAAAGGAGACACAACCACTTTTTATGAAGAAAGTAAAAGAAGGTTACAGCAGGATCGCCACTGGCTTCTATTCTGAGCCATATCTGATAACGTCTCTAGCCACTGTGTAGCACCATCTCTCAGACCCCAACCAGGGAGTCGTGAAGGACCAACACAAGCCAGTCCTTTGCAGCTTTCTTTCATGCCACGACACCATGTCATGCACTGACCACCTCTCCGCTTCTTCCAACCAGTCCCAGAGTCGGCAACTAATGCACGACGTGGAATTCTCTGGGACGACATTCGGAGAACATGTCCAAGCCACCGAAGTCGGTGTTTCAAAATGGTAACACCAATTGAGTTATCATCTCTGTGCCCGAACACACGATGCCGAACCTCTGCATTACTGACATGGTGTTGCCACTGAATGTCAGCAATCCTTCGGAGACAGCGATGATCGAACACAGAGAGTCGTCTAACGTCCTCAACTCGGAGAGACCAGGTTTCACAAGCATAGAGCAGAACTGCTCTCACCGACGCGTTGTAGATCCGACCTTCTACAGCCAGACTAACATCACGAAGGCGCCAAAGATGGCCCAGATTGGCATAAGCCCCTCTGACTTTCACTATTCGTGCATTGGTATCATCACTCACGCCACTACCAGCACTTGTGCAGCTACCTAGGTACACGAACTTCTCGACTACGTCTATCTGCTCACCATCCAGGATGAGTACAGGATTAGGATCCTGTCAGTCTTGTAGAAGTACTTTGCACTTCGAAGGTGCAAAGCACATACCATACCTACGGACACTGATTGCCAACTGATTAAGTGCGGATTGCATGCCTTGGGCATTATCGCACAGTAAGACAATATCGTCCGCATACTCAAGGTCGAGAAGTCTTTCTCCAGGCAACAGATCCACACCACCATTACTTACATTCATCAGAGCTGTTTCCAGAATGTCATCGATGGCAAAGTTGAAGAGGAATGGTGAGATTGGGCAACCCTGCCTAACCCCACTACTCGAATGGAACAATGGAGAGAGGTGGTTGTATGCCCTCACTCTGTCTGAGGTGTTTGTATATAGGGCTTTTAGGATGTTAATAAACTTCTCAGGCACACCCTTCTTCAATAGACAATCCCAGAGAACAGTCCTATCCAACGAATCGAAGGCAGCCCTGATGTCAAGAAACACTACGATTGTTGGCCTTTGATAAGTATGGCGATGTTCTAACATTTGGTGGAGGGTGAAGATATGATCAATACATCCTCGACCAGAACGAAACCCAGCCTGCTCTTCGCGAGTCAATCTTTCTCGGGTTTTGAACAACCTACGAAGTATGATGGAAGCCAATAGCTTGGACGCAATCGGATGTAGACTTATCCCCCGATAGTTGTTGCAGGAACGACGTGAACCCTTTTTAAAGATAGGGACGACTATTGACTCATTCCATGACGTTGGTACACTCTCTAGTTCCCAAACCAGCTGCCCTTCCTCGTTTCAGATTAACTATAGCCTTTTGAACTTCTGCTAGAGTTGGGGGACCTACTTCAATGTTCCATCCACACTGTCTGGGAATGGAGGGTAGTTGTAGAGTAGCTGAAGACCAGCTGAACTATTTTCTGAAATGTTCCGCCCATCGTTCTAAACGTCTGGACTGAGAGCAGATGAGGGTGTCGTTTTTTTCCGAAATAGTCTGACTTACACTTGATTTATTAATTATAGTTTCTTTTATTAGTCTGTAGAGCTGTCTTGTGTTTCCTATAGCCGCCGCCTTTTCCATCTCTTTTGTTTTCGTTGCCCACCACCGCTCACAGTCGCTCCTTAGACTTTTGCTTAACCTAGACCTGATTTGTTTTCGCTCTTCATCATGTTCAGAACCTGATGGGATGAGTTTACGAGAATCCATCAGTGCAATAGAAGTAGAGGAAATCCATTGCTTCTTTGTAACCCTGTGGTTTAAACCACTGATAGATGTCACTGCTGTTTGTATAGCTTTCCAAGCAACATCTGGGTCAGCCTCGTTTTCAGAACTATCTAATTGTGACCTCAGTTGTTCCTGGAACCTACTTTTGGTTCTCTCGCTACTCAATTCAGTTCTAATGGGTCTTTTTACTGAGGCTTTTTTGCGTCCATTGAGGCGCAAGCAGATGCGTGCCCGTATCAGGGCGTGGTCGGAGTCCAATCAGGTACTCCAGAATGAGCGACAATCTTCTACCGACTCTCTCCAACGATGACTGATGGCAATATGGTCTATTTGAGTCCATCGTTGGTCTGGTGCAGGGGGTCGCCATGTTAGACGATGTCTCTCCTTATGCCTAAAATTTGTGTTTGTTAAAAATAAACGATTGTCTGAGCACAGTTGCAGCAGACGATCACCATTATCTGTTCGTTGTGGCGGAATACTAAAATACCCACCCAAATGCCTTTCTGTTTGGTCTAAACTACCTATCTGGGCATTAAAGTCACCTGCTACGAGTACTATGTCCGAACGTTTAGCTTTCTGAAGAAGTTCAGATAGCTTTCTGTAAAATTCATCTTTCACTTCATCTGAGCTGCAGTCGGTGGGAGCGTAGGCAGAAACGACGAAAAGGCAACGACGTGTGTCCCTATCCTTCCGAGTTCTTACGGAGCTGTTTAGCCGAACAGCACATAGACGACTGTTGACGGGGATCCACTCTAACAGTGCTTGTTCGGCCCTCATGCTTAGTGCTATCCCTACTCCTACCAGTCCACGAGAGCTGGCCATCGGGTCACCAGATACACGGAGGGTGTATCTCGTTGGCTCTCCGTGTTGCCGAGGTGAGGTCAAGTGAATGACCACACTGGGATCCTGTATGCGTGTTTCAGAGACACAGCATACATCAATGGTACGAGATTCTAGGGTTCTAGCCAAGGAAGCCTGTTGACCGTTTTGACATAGGGTGCGTACGTTGAGTCAGTCAGTCAGCTACAACGTAGGACCAGGCACATATGTGCATCGGTCCAGGTTGCCATACCTCATTAGCACAGCAAGATGAACAGCGGATTCATAGGAGTGGTTAGGTCAAAGGTTGCAATAAGGATATAGTATAAGAAGAAAGAATTAGTTCGTAGACAGAAAGAATGAAGTGATTTTAATCTTTTAGTTTAAGGGAAGACAGGGAGTGTATACACCGACGCCATTGTGATCGATTCTGAGCCATGTCACCAAGAGTCTCCAACCATTGGTTACGATAGTCACGCGGACCCCAACCAAGTAGTCTGCATCTACCAACATGGCTCAGACTAGAAGTTAGTGACTTCAGGCACTGATGCCACGTTTTGGTTTGGCCGCCCCTAACTTTCTTCCAACCATCCCGTACCCCGGTTAGCATTGCACGTCGTGGTAATCAGTGTTCAGGCATACGTAATACGTGGCCCAACCATCTCAGTCGATGAAGATTCATAACCTCATCAACTGATTTACCATCATTCCCTAATACCCTTCGTCTAACCTCACTATTACTTACCCGGTGATCCCAGCAGATGCCAGCAATATTTCTAAGGCATCTGTGGTCAAATACTAGTAGCTTACGGGTGTCTTCTACTCTTAGTGGCAAACCTGAAAGACTGGATCCTGTGGGAAATATCCGTACATATTTTTATAATTATAAATAAAGTAAAATAATTCACTTCTTTACCTAAGACTTAGGTATGAGCCACACTCTAAATGTGGAATCTAGTGACTGAAGGTTGAAAGCTTTCACAAACAAGCCACTGCCCCGTGAGAAACGAGCTCCTGAAAGTTTAGTAAATGTTATCTGCTGACATTGTAACTGGATAAATTAGGGGCGAACTCACGCTGCTCATTAAAGACTGGTTGCTCTAGTTTCATGTCCACTTAACTGTCATGAACTACTTTCTTAGTTAATGCAAAATAGCAAACTCTGTGCTTTGGGATGTTATCAGGCATAACTTAGAATGAGTTTGATTTAGTATTTACTACTCGTATGTATCACATTCTGTTTTACTTCTTTACAACTTTGTCATTTCGTTTTGCGTAAAGCATTTAGAGCCATTCTTACTTAGTTTCCATGGTAATAAAGGGAGCTTAGTGGTTTAGGCGTTAGACTTCCAACCACCATTTATTTGAGGGCCCCTCATTCACTACAAACAGTTTAAATTTACAACGAATTATGTGATTAGAAATAAATGATTAATATACTTCGGTCACATAAAAATTTTAAAACGAGACAGTACGCAAAAGATTAAGACCTAAAAGTGATATTTCCAAGTTATTATTATTATTATTATTTGAACACATAAATATTGGTACAAGAGAGCGCCAATATGTATGCGCCACACAAAACAATGAGAATTCGAAGAGAAGTAGAAAGAAAGA